CTCTCTCTCTCTCTTCAAGACTCCTTTTGACTGGACAATGGCCATGCCACCACCATTGTCGCCACCGTTACCACCACCCATGGCGACCACTACGAGCACTTCTCTTTCTCCTCATGGTTTTCTCCCCCACCACCCTGTTATGTTGCGCCCAGAGGAGTCCCGAAGCACTAGCTGAGATCCAGGCCTTGGTATCGTTCAAGCTCAATCTGCATGACCCGCTTGCCGCGTTGAACGACTGGAATGCTTCCACACCATCCGCTCCTTGCGATTGGCGAGGCATTGCTTGCTATAACTCGACCGTTATAGCTCATTGACCACCTTGGTAAACTCACTGACCACACCATCCGCTTCCTCCTCATGGTTTTCTCCACCACCGCCTTGTTACGTTGCGCCTAGAGGAGTCCTGAAGCACTAGCTGAGATCCAGGCCTTGGTATCGTTCAAGCTCAATCTGCATGACTGGGATTCTTCCACACCATTTGCTCCCTGCGATTGGCGAGGCATTGCCTGCTATAACTCCACCATCCGCTCACCGACCACCTTGGTAAACTCACCGAGCTTTGCAAGCTTGGCCTTCATTCCAATGCCTTCAATGATAGCATCTCTTCTTCTCTTTCTAACTGCTCCCGTGCTCGCGTCCTCTTCTTGCAATACAACTCACGATGTGGAATATTTCATATATAATATTCCCGCTCAATGATGTGGCAGCCACGAGTGTTCTTGACACAAGAACGATACCAACATGTCTGTCCTGATATTTTAATATTCACACTCATGCGTGATGGATTGAACATTTAGGTTAAATAGTAAAATGAATCGAACTTAATAAAGGGTAAAATAGTAAATTAGCAATGTCTGTTAGTCAAGTTACCGTTATCTCACTAACATGGTGAGTTTTGGATGTTTTGAAAAGTTATGGTGAGTTTAAGAGAATTCATAAAAAGTGATGGTGGGTTTTGGACAATTACCCTTTATATAATATATATTATAAATATAAAAAACCGAAAAACTGAAGAACTGAAGAACCGAACCGGTCAAAAACCGAAACCGGCGGACCGGTTAACTCGTGGTACCGGTTTGGTTTCGGTTTGGAGAAATGGAAAAACCGGTACCACCTGTTCAGTTTGCAAAATATGCCCACAGTTCGGTTAACCGAACTGTGGACACCCCTAGGAAAACCTATTTTGAGGTGTTACAGGCTGGGAGGAAACTTGTTAGTGCACAAATCAGTGTTGGTGCACAGAATATTAAAGGTGTAGTCTGCAAGAATCTGTAGTACTTGTCTCCTGCATTCAATTTAAAGGAATGCATGAGGTTAACTATTTTATTAATGAAATAACAATATGCTGTTCTCTGTAAAAAAAGGGAATCCTAAGCAGGAAAATTTTTAGTTCAAAGCAAAGTGATGATTAACCCTGTCCTACACTTCATAACAGGTAAGCAAACATGAAATTCTAGTAAATTGGATTTAGCCAATGACTGTTGAGATTTAAGCAGGTTAATGATGATCTCAAGTGGGAGACTGTCAATAGGATCAAAGGAGACTTTGACAGAAACATGGTTAAATACATGGGTGGAAGAAATGGGTGGAGTTCTGTGTCAGAATATTCAGAACAATTTATCAAATCATTAAATTTTGGCGTTTATTTCATTGTCAAAATCTGTTTCTCTTTGAATGCATTAAGATCCACTACTCAAATTTGGCCCCATCTATCTCACCAGGTTCTCGGGAGGGGTGGACTGGATAAGACTTGTAACCTTTGGCATTTTTGCACAAAGTGGCCACTCTCAGATTTGAAGCTGTGCTATTGTGCTTGTATCTTTTGAGGCATTCATTATAAAATTGGCTAACATGATGGAGTTTGAGTTTCCTGATTAGTGGAGTAAGACATGCTACTGTTCTGACTGGTTATTTATGTGTTGGTAATAAAATTATAGGGCAAGATACAGAAATTGGTGCGTGGCATCTAACTATAAAAAATGGTGCATGTAAGCTTTTATTTTCTGAATATTTGTAAGAACAGGTTCTCATTGCTGTTACTGTAGGTACCACTTCAATTGAGAGCAGTGAGGGTATACGAGTAGAGTATATTGCCATATTTCTTGCTATTATATTTCCCGGAGCTGTGGTTGCTTTCAACTATGAAGTGGTACAGAGCTTGCCTCACTCTTCTCTACTTCGCATATATTGTGCTGGTATTTGGCATAATGCAGTTGTAAGTTCTATTCCATACTTGTTCAGTGTAATTCCCATTATATATACATGAATACAAAACTTAGGTATCAAATAAGCTCCTCCGCACTGCTGAGAGTGTTGGTTTTGATGTCTAGGATATTCATGAGCATGTTGTCCTTTAATTTGTTGGAATTGAGTATTGATTTTCTTCAACTTTCTCTTTAGAGCTGTGCAGTTTGTGGGCTGGCCTTGATCTTCTTGCCTTTGATCTTATTTCCTCTTTACATACATGGTGAAAGCCCCATGGTACTTCTCCATACAGATTTTGCTTGTTTCATAGAGGTAGTTTTATTTTTTATATCAATGTTGACACCCTTTAACAGATCATTCTTAAAACAATTACTCTGGTATAGGTTTTGGGCTTGTCTTCCACATCACCTTTGTTTGGGTATTTGTCTCCTGGTGATTCCATTGTGTCATTAGATGGCATACGCATTCATGACCCCCATGAATGGATGAAGATGATCACTCTGATAGATGAGCAGACACATCAAAACTCAAATTACTCAGATGATGCTAGAAGTGTCTTGACTCTTGGTGGCAGAAAGGGTTATTGTGTTCCTAGTTCTTTGTTGGACAAGAGTGTGAAGATTCAACTGGAAGATAGCCAATTTGTTTGTCCTGATGAGCTTAGTGCCTTTGTAAAGTTTTCCTGCTTTAATTCAAGTTTGTTAGATAATGGTTATCATGAAAATGGAAAGTGGGGTGCAAACTGCTTGACTGCTAAACATGTTGTCAAGCTTAACAAATGTGGTGATGGATGGCCAGCAGCTGTGACGAGTAGAAGCAGTTGTGAATGTTCACAGGTAGAAATTTGTTCTATCAAGGGGAATGTTAAATGGAATGAGTAATGCAGACTATTTTCTCTTTGAATTAAATATTGAATTTATCTATTAATTACTTAATTCTGTAAATCTTCAATGGTTCCAAAGTTTTTGCTAGGAACCTGATGAAATTGACTAATCTTCAATGGTTCCAAAGTTTTTGCTAGGAACCTGATGAAATTGACTAATCTTCAATGGTTCCAATGTTTTTGCTAGGAACCTGATGAAATTGACTAATCTTCAATGTTAACTGAGGATGCTTTTATTCATGTTGACAGGACCAATCCTGCTTGATGCCTGCTCAGGTTCCAGGTGTGACATGGGTTGAGATAGCATATTCAAACCCTTATTCCTTGGAATGCTTGCAAAAAGGAGAAAATTCATCAGCAGATATTGAGGGTCCTGAATCTGTAATAACCAACTGTGGTGGGACTTTTGTATTTATTGGAGATGCGCATTCGATGGGACATTCAGTTCAATTAACGGCATATCAACCCCGCTGGGCATTCTTTTTAGGTGCATATCTTCCAAATACATTGGAGAAGATATTGGTCTGCACATTCCATGTATCCCTGACATTGGCTTTTCTCAACAGCCTGCCGGTATGTTGTTTTGTCAATATGCTTTCTATTATAGAAATTGCTACCTAAATACCTAATTACCATTGACAAACTTCTGTCAGACTTCATTTGTGTGCATCCAAGTAGAAGAAACAAGCATCCAACTTATAAAAAGACCATTACCCAATGTTGGTCCCAGCTATCTGGGGTCTTGGGAGGGGTAGACTAGGTATGGTTCTAACCTTCGGCATTTTTTCGTACAAAGTGGCTGCCCTCAGACTCAAACCCATGATCATTTAATTGGTGGGTTTTCACGTAGGTTAGGCAATGCCTAAAAATTTGATGGTCATGATTTCCAATCTAGAGCTGAAACTTGAATACTTTCTTGACATAAAGTTAAACAAGTATGTTGGAAAGCTACTAATTCCATCGCATCAAAGTCTATAACTTGCAGCCTACTGTAGGACTTGTAATGGCAAAATCAAGATTTTGGACATGGCTGTGTAACTTTCCACAAGCACGCATGCACAGACAGACAAAACACGCACACGCACCACACATGCACACTAGTACACTTCTTATCTGATGTAAACAGTAGAACAGGGGAATGCTGATCTTATCGAGAGTTTATTCCACGTCACTATCTATGTCTACTAACATTAGTATTCATCAGGTGTTCTTTTTGGATGGTGAGTCCATTTTGGAGGTGATAGTTTGTAACATCACTTTCCTAAGCGCCAGGAAGAGGGAGAAAATTTTCCAAATATGCCTCCTCGGAGGTACCCTTTTTTCAATTTTGGCCATTTCAAGGATTTCCCTTTCAATATTTTTGTAAGCTGAAGTTAGCTCCTCTGTTATGACTTATAAGCATTTTGTTTTACTACGGACACGGTTTACTTTCTCATCGTTTTCATCTTTCCTTCAATTTCGTGTTAGTATCATTAGTTTGTAACAATGATAAAAATCTAAATTGTCTTTCTATATTGCCATATCACATGAGATATTTCATTTTTGTACGGTAATTTTTGAACTCGGAGTTGTATATACATTTATACATGGGATTCTCGAGTTAAAATGGTATGAAAGGTCAAAGCTTATCCCTCGCAACCAGTACAACTATCCCCTCCAAATCCAATGCAGCTTCTGCATCTGTTGGTAATTTGCCCATGGATATTCCATTCCTCTTTATGGCTATATATCATGGTCTAGAGGCTCTAAGGGTGAGGAATGAGGATGCCCACTATTAGGGGTGTTCATTATACAGTTCAAATCGCAAAACCGAACTGAATCAAATTGAATTTGTGGTTTGGTTTGGTTTATACTTGTGAACGGTTTGATTCAGTTTGAGAATTTTTTAAATTGTGGTTTGCGATTTTGGTTTGGTTTATTGAATTTTATAAGCCGAACTAAACCGTAAATTGTAAACCTAAATTATATATATAAATATATAATGAATTCTTTATTTTATAATAAAATAATAAATAAAAGTTTTAAGTTTTAATTTTTAGGGGTGTTATTTGGGCTTTCTAATTGGGTTAAGCCCTAAAGAACCATAGAATGGTCCCAAGTCCCCAAATCGTATTAGAAATCGCACCAAACTGTAATAAAATGGTTTGGTTTGGTTTCTATACCAAAACAGTTTGGTTTGATTTAGAAAATTTTCAAACCGTAATTTATTGGTTTGATCTGAGGTCTTTTCCAAACTGCACTGAACCGGACCGTGAACACCCCTACCCACTATTGCGCAGAAAGTGGAAAACGTAGTTAAGCAACAGGAACCAATTGAGAGAACACAGTGGCATCTTTGATGGTTGTCACCCACTCACCCCAGGCATGCCAAAGAAAGAAAAGAGGTTAACCGGTTTGGGACAGAGGTCAAATAGTCAATGAGGGAGTCATGCAAGCAGTTAAAGATGTTTCCACTCTTACACAAAGGCTTCCTAAATCAACATCCGTAGCATCTCTAATATGAAATGAAGTTTCCTTTTGTCCTCCATCTTTTTCGATGTTATGTGTTTTGATTGTATTATTTGGCAATAAACACTGATTTCATGTCATTACCGCTTGCCCTTGCAGCCTTTATCCTTGTGCAATTTATCTTTTTCCCTCTCTCCATCACTTTCAGTTGATGCCAGGGGGAGGCGGGGGAGGCAATTTTCCGATGTGAGGAAAAGCTTAAAAAAGTTAAATTGCATGTACACGAATGCATATCAAAAGGGGGAGAATTATGAAAATGCTTCGATTACGAGTATATATATCATCAAAAAAGCTTGAAATAACAAAGGGAGCAAATAATAAAAGAAAGAAACATATGTCAAGGCTAATATAAGGGGGTGAAAAATGAAAAAAAGATAAAATATATGATTGCAATTTGATGCCCTTTGATATACTTTGTTGAAAACAAATGTTGATCTAAAAGATTCGAAAAAGGGAAAAACATATATTTAGGGGAGCATGCATGTACTCTCCCGAGGGGGAGCTTCATAAGAAAAATCTAAATATGACGTTAAACTTTGCTGCTAATACTTGCTTGCGGATAAACATGCTTCATAATATGTTATACATTTTAATATTTCCATAATTCCATCCAATAATTTGTCATCATAAAAAAGGGGGAGGTTGTTCATCTTATATATTTTGATGATAATAAATACAAACTCATTAAGGCTACTAATAAATATACTCTAAATGTGCAACCTAAGTATACATATTCAATTATGTGCCAAAGAGATAAGAAAGTAAGCTGAGAAGCAAGTAGCCCCAAGAGAATAAAAGGAATGGCAATGCTAAATATTCAATGATAGCAGCAGTCTCCAAGATCCAAGAGCTTGTCGATTGCATTAATTCGGATCTCATTGTCATTAGCAATGCAATGTGCATAGTAGGGTTCAAGTATACTAACCATGGTGTGCTTAAAATACCTTTATGACCAGTGGGTATGATAGGCAAACTTTTATGAAGCCATCTAGTTTGATACTTGGGCTATGTTTGGGAGTGCTTAAAAATAAGTGCTTATTTGGGCCGGGACTACACCATTAAACACTTACTGGTGTTTGAGAAATAAGTCCGAAATAAGTGTTTATTTTAAAAATAAGGGCTTATTTTTAAGCCCAAATTTCCAGCATTTTTTAAGTGTTTATACAATAAGCACTTATTCAATTTTTTCTTCCAAAATTATCCCTAGTTGAAATTTAAAATACCACTTATAAAATTATCCTTAGTTGAATATTATAAAAGTACTTTTGTAAAAGTGCTTTCATAAAAATACTTTCATAATTACTTTCATAAAAGTGTTTTTATAAAAGTACTTCCATAAGGGTGTCACATATGCTTATTTAAGTGCTTATTGGAGAAAAAGACTACCAAATGCCCAATATAAAATAAGTGCTTATTTTAAAAAATAAGCACTTGAAAAAGTTGGGTGCCAAATGTAAATAAGTGCTTATTCGAATAAGCACATGTTTTTAAGCACTCGATAAACACTTATTTTTAACATAAGCACCCCAAAACATGACCTTATTGGATTTCTTGGATTAAAACTTGTTCAATATATTGGAGATGGTGTTCTTGCCTTGTAAATGAAGTTCATGGTGCAAAGAGTGATCTTCTAAATGTTGCTAGCTGTTACCAAGTGAAAAATGTAATTTAACTTTTTTAAAAGGGTCATTTATTAAGACACCCCCTATAATTTTACGTAATTACTAAAAGCTATTTTTACTAAGACATGCCTATTTTTTATCAATTACTAAGATACTCGTATACTTTACAACAATTTTACTACAGGAAAAGTATGGACAGACCCAATTCAGAATTTTGAATTCCAATCCACTCAATGCAGAATCAAGACATGTAAATACAATTTTTGAAAACTTAGGACAGATTCCCACGCCAACTATGCATTTTTCTATGCCTATGAGGTGGCAATCCAACATGGATTCCATGTCACATTCTTCTTCATTTTTCTTTTTATTTCGAAATTACCCTTGACATGTAATGACCAAAATGGCCCTGCTTAAGAAAAGAAGGATCCATTGATCTCTCCCACTCTCCTCTTTCGTTGTCTCTTCCACTCTCAACTCACCTCCTGGAACTTTGTTCCAAAAAATTATCTCTCTCTCTCTCTCTCTCTCTCTCTCTCTCTCCCTCGTGCTCTAATCATTTTCATTTTTAAAGCCAGTCCTGAAGCATTACAACTTGTCGGTTGAACACCAGTATGACTAACAGGTAGCGTTCTTGTTTCACAGTAAAGTGATTCATTTTGTATATAATCTCACTATTGTTCTCCTCAATCCAATCTCTGATAAACCTTCAAAGTTTCATGTAAGTTATCGTTATTATTTTTTATTTTCCAAAATACTTTATCATGCTTTGCAAAGTGTGCTGGTTATTGAAAGTTAGTCATTTTCTTTTTCATATAAGATTATCTAGATTAGTTCTTGCTAACATAGTTCTAATTTTATGGTACTTTGTCAGTATATAGCTTTATTGAGATGATTGTCTAGGTTTTTATGTTCAAAAACCAATTTCTAAGGTTTGGGTATTTGACTTGGAGTTTTAACTAATGGGCTTATTTAGCTTGTATGGAAGTTGGGGTTTTAGTTTATGGTTATTGAACCTGATATAGAACTGCAGGTTCATTCGATTTTGATATTTGGAATTTAGTAAAAATTGTAGATGAAAAATTGATGTGGAAAGCTTTATGTTTCCAAATAATCATCATTACCGAATGATCTCTTGCAGCCTTAAAATTGAGGTTTTAATTTCTTAGTCAACCCCATATAATGTAGTTGTGCAAGGCTCTGATGATGATTAGCTATCTGGCCAAGGTTGTTACTTACATTGATCAAAGGCATCACTAGCCTAATTGTATAACCAACTGCTAAGGATGTTTCCTTCATTGATCAGAGACATCTCTAGCTTAATTTTATAACTAAGTGGTAAGATTGTTACCTTACTTCATTAATCCAAGGCATCACTAGCTTAATTGTATAATGAATGCTTCCTGATATAAGCTATTGAACCTTGGATGAACCCCTTACCTGGTAGATAGGACAACTGTGAGTGGATATAGTTGGATTGCTTTGCACCTGCTTGCCTCCTCTCGTTGTTTTGTTTTTAAGTTGTGTTGTTTGTCATAGCTTAGCTAATAAAAATGACTATTGAAGAAAATGAATTTTTTTCTTTTTATATATTTTGTTTTCATCTTTTCCTTTGGGGATGGACATGGCGTAATAGTTGCAGCTATTTTGTGCTTACACTCCTTGTATTAGGCTTATATGCTTTAATTGCCATCTTAATAAACATTTACTGAGATGGATTTAAGTTGTTAGGTAAATTGATTGGCAAGGACATGACACCCTCAATTTCCTTGATGTTACAAAGTGATGATCTTTTTAACAATGAGATAAGATGGTCCCAATTCAGAATTCCAACCCAGTTGTAGTGTGTCTTAAAAAGACTTGTAAACATAACTTTTGGAAAGTTTGAATAGATCCCCATGCCATGTTATAGATTATTGTCTTGACTGATTTGGTGGCAATACAACAAGGTTTCCATGTTGAATGAAAGGCTTCCCACCAATACTTAGTAGGTACCAAGGCATGAGAAAGTAATGTTAGACCAGTCTCAACAATTAGGCAATGTCTACATTCTACAAATCCATTTTGCTCTTGTATGTGTGGGCATGATTCATGTTGAGTGATACCATACTTATCAAGGAATGGCTTAAATACTTTGAATTTTCCACCACTATCAGATTGAAACCATTTGATGGTGGTTTTGAACAAGTTCTCCACTTTTGTTTTAAATAGCAAGAAAGCATTCAATGCATCGGATTTCTTGTAGAGGGGAATATCCATTGAAAAGATTAAATGTATCAATAAAACAATATAGTATTTATATCCATGTACTGAAGAAACTAGGGCAGGTCCCCATAAGTCTGAATACATTAAGTCCAATGAAGTAAAATATGTGCTACTACTAGAAACAAAAGGTAATTTGTGTGTCTTTCGAAGCA